AGACATTTTGTAGCAAAAGGAGGGGAGTGGTTGACTTTGCAGTCCAGGAGTGGAGGTCCCTGGGACCATCAAAGGAGAAGAGTGGAGTGTGGGATCCTACCCAGAGAAACATTGATGCCAGAGACTGAGGCAGAGACGATGACATGGAGAGTTGGAGCAGCTGAGGACTCCAGACCCAGAGAGGGAGAGGGACTGTGTACTGACGACAGAGGGGCAAGCTTGCAGGGTATACCCTTTGGTTGTTTGATGATGCATGGAGGGGATTGTAACCATGGCAGTGAAACGATACACGATAGGATGAATGTATAATTAATGTTCTCCCATGTAAACTATCACATAATTCACAATAAAACATTAAAAAAAAATAAAAATGGAGGGTCAGTGAAAAAGAGGATGACCCCTAACTAGATGGATTGGTACAGTGGCAACAGAAATAGACTCAAGCGGAACACAGTTTTGAAGATGGTGCACAAGTGAGCAGTGTTTCCTTCTGTCATGCGTAAGGTTGATACAAGTCGGAACCAACTCGACACCCCTTGACAACAACAGTACCAAGAGCAAGTCACTGCTCTAGGACTTCCTTGTTGTTAAGTGCCATCGAGGGTTTCCAAGAGCTGCTGGCAGGTTTGAACTGTCAACCTTGTGGTTGGCAGTCCAGTGCTTATCCTACAGTGCCACACCAGGTCTCCATCGTCTGTATAAGTCCCATAAAATGATTGGGTGGGACTACAAGCAAGGTGCTTGTGGCCCTCATTTCCTTAGGTAAGTTCATCAAGTTTTATATTCTTAACAAATTACTTTTTGGAATTTCCAAAAAACTGCAAGTAAATTGAACACTTTTTTAAAAACCAAATAAAATACTGACTGTATTAATTTGTTTTCTCTTTTGAAACCTTCTAGGAGGATGGTTTGTTTATCAGCAAAGGAATGAAATTCATAATAATTGTGGCATCGAGATATATTACCAAACAGACATGCAGAGCACCGCAGAGAACATGTTTTTGGAGCTCTTCTGTCAGATCATCTCTGAACCTTGCTTCAACACCCTGCGTACCAAGGAGCAGCTGGGTGAGAGGAAAGCAGGAGTGACAGGATACCGTAGAGACTGATAAATAATCATTGTCCTCAGGAACCATTTTCCATCTGTAGAATCACCTAGCACTGTGCTCAGGCATGCTCCATTCAGAAAGACTTGTGAGAACCTTATTAATGGGACCCACTTCTAAAAGATAAGCAGCAGTCAATATTTGATAGATATTAAAGCAATTCTTAATGAAATGACACTATTTATATCGCATTGTTGTTGTTGTTGTTGTTAAGTGCCATCGAGTCGGGTCCGACCCATAGCGACCCTGTACAGGGTTTCCGAGGGTGTAAATCTTTACGGGAGTAGAAAGCCTCATCTTTCTCCCGCGGAGCGACTGGTAGTTTCGAACTGCTGACCTTAAGGTTCGCAGCCCGATTCGTAACCACTACGCTACCAGAGCTCCTTTTTATCGCATACATGTCAAAAAAGAGGTTATTTTTGGGAGAAGGATGCAGTGTTATGGGTGACCAAGTGGGAAACAGATTAAATATCAACTAGCCGGAGAAACTGAAGTGCACAAATTGAATTCCCTGAAGGTAATTTTTACCTTACTCGTCTTTGTATCCCAAGTCTGGGACACATGGACGTATGAGGAAATGAATGTTTCAGACAGAGTTTTGTTGTTGTTGTTGTGAAGTGCTGTCGAGTCGGTTCCGACCCATAGCGACCCTGTATAGGGTTTTCGTGGAGCAGCTGGTGAACTTGAACCGCCAACCTTGCAGTTCAAATGGCTTTGTAGTCTAGCGCATTAACCCACAGCACACAGACAGAGTTTTAGACACTATTAAAATCTCAGAGATCCTGGCAGATTTGATCAGTGAGAAAAGGAATCCTAGTAATGACTGGGTAAAGCTAGTGAGAAAAGATTTTGGTGAGTCTCTCCAAGTACCATTTATTTTTTGAATGACTACCATGTTAGTGGTGTGATGGCAGTGTGGTGCTGTAGGATAATTAAGTGCTGGACCACAAGGTTGGTTTGATCTGCAAGGTCAGCAATTCAAAACCCGCCAGCTGCTTCTTAGAAACCACATTCAGGGTCGCTGTGAACTGACTTGATAATACTTAATAATAACAACAATAACCATGTTAGGTGTTAGTAAGTTATGGATGGTCCTTCCCCTCAAGAAGCTACCAGAAGGCAGACCTGTAAGAGCATAATTAATTACAGTACACTGTGACAAATACTACTGTATGCTACTTCCACTTGCTGGCTAGTCAGTTCTGATTCACGATGACCCTGTGTGTGCACAGTAGGGTTGTTAGGACTGATAAGGAAATACATCACCAGACCTTTGTTTCAAGGCATCCCCGGGTGGACTCAACCCTCCAGCCTATTTTAGTTAACCATTTGCACCACCCAGAAGCTCTAGATTCTCCTTTAAGAGTATTCCAAGTGTGAAGGCTACACTGATGCTAATGACTTACTCATCCTGGAGCACGAGAGACTTCAGGCCCTAGCTAAGTTTTGAAGGATGAGTAGAAATTATTCAAGAGGAAAGTAGGGAGAAACAAGAGAGTAATGCATTTTGAGGCACAGAGGAGTCTCTGGGGCCTAAGTTGGTAGGCATCAGTGTTTGAAGCCATCCTATAGACTGATGTAGAACATTTGTTGGTGACCAGAGTGCTGCTCTAATGTGATTTAACCAGAAGAGGACAGGGTTGGAGTAGAGGATCTGGGCTTAAGGTGGTACCGGTGGCTTACTACACCTTTTGATACATGCATGGAATCCTGGTATAGAGCTGTAGGATCAACACTGGACTGCAAATCTCAAGGTTGTGGTTCAGAACCACCAGCCACTCCTTGGAAACCCTATACAGGGTCACTATGAGTCAGAACTGACTCAGTGACACTTTACAAACAACTATAACATGGATGAAATAGGCAAAAAAGAATTTGGAAAGAAAGACAGCTCCATTGTTGCTGTGCTAAACCTACTTTTGACTCTCCAATTCACAGTTAAAGGCTAGATTTGGGGCATCTTCCCCTGTATTGTCGGATCTGTAAGAGAAGATGACCTAACTGCTCAGAGTGCTTGTGTAGAGGGAGAAGAGACGTGGGAACCAGAGATAACACAGCTGTCAGAGATGGTGGTTTAAATCAGAGCAGCCACGAGCTCAGTTAGAAAAGGGGCTGAAGGGAAGTGGTCATGGGCTCAGAAGATGACCGTGGTGGTATACCTTAGATTAATGTGGTCTTTGGAAAGATGTAGTCTAAACAGAATGGATTATCTGACAAGAAGTATAATAATATAACCAAGTTCACATAAGGAACTAAGATGTGAAAAGATAAGAAACAGAAGACAATGGTTGTTGTTGCTAAGAGTCGAGTCTGACTCATAGCAACCCTGTCTGGCAGGGGTGGGGAACATCCTTTAGTCTTGCCCTGCTAAGGCAACCACAATTCCAGCCATCACGATGTTGTTATTGTTGTTAAGTGTCAGCAAGTCGGTTCCAACTCATAGCAACCCTGTATAGGGTCTCCAAGGGGCAGCTGGTGGGTTTGAACTGCCGACCTTGTGGATCCATGCCAGTGCTGATCCTACAGTGCCAATCAGGAGTCCACATTGTTGTTGCTAAGTGCCATTGAGTCAGTTCCTACCCATAGCGACCCTGTATAGGATTTCCAAGAAGCGACTGGTCAACTTGAACCTCCAACCTTGTGGTTCAAACTGACTTTGCAGTTCAGCACATTAACCCACAGCACTACACCAGGACTCCACATTAGGGGTGACTTCATTAAATGTTCGACTAAATATAGTAGGCAAATTTTAAAGTTGATGATTTCGTGTGGTTCACAAATGATGTTATAAATTTTGGCAGAAAAAAGGTTTCCCACCTCTGCTGTATAGGGTTTCTCAGGAGTGATTGGTGGCTTTGAACTGCTGACCCTTTGTTTAGCAGTTTATTGCCTATCTAACAGCACCACAGCAGGACCCCACAATTCGTAGGGGATGAAAATTAGTCAAGCATGTCATAGAGACAGGAATAATTTTAGCAGAGGTTGAAGGGTTGAAGAGGTTGAAGTAGCAGAGAGTGAGGAGTTATGGGATGTGCATTTGAATAAAGAATTGGTTTGTTTTGGTGGATTTTTGTTTTTAAAAAGAAAATTATCTCAACTTCCTACTCGTCAGAGAATGTATTTGCTATGTCCTTAAGAACTGAGATTATATATCGTAATTGCTAATATTCAGAAGTGAATAATACAAGGTCTAATAGAGCCTTGGTGGCACTGTGGGTTAGGCAGTTCACCATTAACCATAATTCAGCAGTTCAGACCCACTAGCCTGCTCAAGGGAGGAAGATGAGGCTGTCTGATCCCATAAAGATTTAGTCTTGGAAAGCCTGTAAAGGATCTGTGTGGGTCGGAATTGACTCTGTGGCAGTGAGGTTGCTTTTTTGTTAAAGTAGATTTTATTTACTCTGACATAATAGCTTTTGAAAAGTTAGATTTGACCTGAGATCAATGCCAAGGCACTGACTGGTTGGTGTTTGTGTTTCAGGCTATATTGTCTTCAGCGGACCACGTCGAGCCAATGGCATACAGGGCTTGCGATTCATCATCCAATCTGAAAAGCCACCTCACTACCTAGAAAGCAGAGTGGAAGCTTTCTTAATTACCATGGAAAAAGCCATAGAAAACATGACAGAAGAGGCCTTCCAAAAACACATTCAAGCGTTAGCAATTTGCCGACTAGACAAACCAAAGAAACTGTCTGCAGAATGTGCTAAATACTGGGGAGAAATCATCTCCCAGCAATACAATTTTGATAGAGGTGAGGTAATATTAGGACACCAGCGTTTATGTTATATAACTAACATTGGAATTCATTGAGACCATTTTATAAAAGTCCATTCATTTTGTATGTATTGGTGTTTTGTTTTGTAACTTTTATTGTGAATTGAGTGAAACTTTACAGAGCAAATCAGCTTTCCATTCAGCAATTCATACACATTTTGTTTCATATACTTGATTGTAATCCCACTTCCTCCCTGTTTCCTGTTTCCATTCCTTCTTTCCTAACCCTTCCCGCATTCTCAACTTTGTCCTTGGGTAAATACTACTCTTTTGGTCTCAAACAGTTGATTGTTTTAAGGAGTGTGTTCCTCCCTAATGTTATTGTTTGATTTAAATGCCAGTCAGTGTGGTTAGGTTGAAAATTAAACCTCAGAAGTGTGTTCAGTTCTAGACGTTAAGGCTGACTAAGGGCCCCAATCGAGGGCTTTCCACCAGTCATTATATTGGTCATGTTTTATTACTGATTTGGGCTTGGGAGATAACATTTCTAAGAACCTTTAGTTAGTATGACAACAATTTCCTATTGGAAACTTGATCAGTTTTCTTTTCTTCAACTAGAGCTGGATTCATCTATGTATCACAATAATGTACTAATCATCTATTTGAACACAGATATTTAGCTATCTGTTTTCCATAACACTAAAAAATTGTAAAATTCACAGATTGAACTTATCTGAGGCAAGTGCTACCATGGAGGTCTGGAAGTTCAAACAGTTGCCTCTAAGGATCTCCACAGACAGGTCACTGCTTTTAGATTAGGAAGAGCTGTGCTTCCCAATGTCTTCTGCCTTAGCTGCTGTTTGACAGTGGAGTGCACTAAGCTACCCTACAAGTTAGAATGTGTTCTCATTCTGATACCAAGAAGCTAGAGAGTTGAGCCACGTCACCTTTTTGAGGCCTCCATTCCCTCACCTGTAATTTTTGTAGCAATTGGATTTGCTATTAATAATTGTTAAGTGCTGTGGAGTCGGTTTCAACTCATAGCGACCCTATATAGGATTTCCAAGGCTTAAAATGTTTTGCAGAAGCAGAAAGCCTCATCTTTCTCTCATGGAGCAGCTGGTGGTTTCAGATCACTGACCCGTGGTTCACCATCCAGTGCTTATCCTATGGAGCTCCACTGCACTCCCAATAATAATGTTGTTGTTAAGTACCGTGGAGTCGGTTCCGACTCATAGTGACCCTACACAGGGTTTTCGAGGCTGTGAATCTTTACAGGAGCAGAAAGCCTCATCTTTCTCCCACGGAACCACTGGTAGTTTTGAACTGCCGACCTTGAGGTTAGCAGCCCGATTCGTAACCACTACATAGTACCTATCATTTATCAAGGACTCCTGGAGTGGTACTGTAGCATCAGCACTGGACTCAAACCACAAGGTCAGCGGTTCAAACCCCCCAGCTGCTCCTCAGAAACCCTATACAGGGTTGTGATTAGTCAGTACCGACTTGATGGCACTTAACAACAACAACTGTTTATTGAGGCATCATATCACTGGACTTCAAACCATAAGGTAAGCGATTTGGTTTGAGCCCACCAGGCTTTCTGCTTCTGCAAAATATCTGAAGCCTTGATAACCCCATACAGGGTCACTATGAGTCAAAACTGACTCCACAGCACGTAACAACCTCCACCACCATTTATTGAACACGTGCCATGTGCCTTGAATCAGTTTTATCAGTTACATTTCCTTTAGTTCTTGCTACAGCTCCGGTAAATCCAGATAAGAAAATTGAGGCTTAGGAAAATGAAAGCCACTAACCCGTGACCTAACAGCTCACATGCAGAGAGTCAGGCTAGGAACTCAATCCCGGCTCTCTGGCTCCAGAGCCTACGCTCTTAACCACTCCACTAGAGCCTCTTAACTAATACATGAAGTTGATCCCCTCGCTACTTATCATCCAGGAGCAGATGACCACGTAAAAAGATGGACTCTTGAAAATCTTGGAGTGAAGCGTATTATGTTTTAGTATGTTCTGAGCTACTTCAAATGGAAATATTGGTAAAATACTGTATGGTTACTTTTTCAGATAATACAGAAGTTGCATATTTAAAGACACTGACTAAGGAAGATATTATCAAATTCTACAAGGTAAGTTGAATTCATATATTTAGATATTAACCAATGTGTGCCTCTGTCTTGGATTGCTACTTTGAAACCCATCCAGGCTTGATTTATAAAGGGATTTTTATGGATGTAAGTATGTTTCACACAGCACATATTACTGTTAGAAAAGATGCATACAATTCATATTTCAACCAGTACTGTTTTCCTTTCCCTCTGAACCAAGTAGTAGGATGGCCCTTCCTGGCTTCTACATTAATCGCTTTACTCTCTCCTTTGTTTTGTTACTCCTCCTCCCCACTCCCCCCACAAAAAGCATGACCGAACTTGTGTGGTGGGGAGGAGCAAAGAAAAAAATGGAACTCAGTAATCAGATGTTTTTCCAAATTCTGACCACTCCGAATTGTTTTCATTTATTTAGGTACCACTGTGGGTGCTATTTTAAATAAATGATCACTTACCTTTGAACTGCATCCAGAGAGCTCTTGTGAGCTTTAAACACCTGTGCTCACTGAGAAAATTTACCAAGAGAAAAGGAGAAGCCCAAATAGCTGAATTTTTCCCTACCTATAACAATGTTCGGGTAGCGCAGTGGTTATGAATCGGGCTGCGAATCGGGCTTTCTGCTCCCGTAAAGATTTACAGCCTCGGAAACCCTGTTCAGGGTCGCTATGGGTCGGAACTGACTCGATAGCACTTAACAACAACAACAATATAACAATGTCCTAAGGTGAATAGCAAAATATTCGTTCATTAGATGTACAAGGCGCCCTGGTGGTAGTGTGGGTTAGGCGTTGGGCTACTGACCACAGTGTGGTACTTCAAACCCTCCAGCCACTCCACAGGAGAATGATGAGGCTGTCAGTTGTACTTATTTAAAGTATTATGTATGTTTATAATACACTGCAGCCCTAGTGCAAAATACTTCTGTACCTATATTTTAGGACAAATAGCAACATTATATTCTGATTACCAGGTTGTTGTTAAAGAGCTGTCGAGTCGATGCCGAGTCATAGTAACCCTGTATAAAGTTTCCAAGGAGCAGATGGTGAGCCACCGACCATGTGCTTCAAACCGACCTTGCAGTTCAGCAAGTTAACACCAGGTGCCTTAGAATTTATCTTAATGTTGTAGCCACTTCTCCTGATTCATACATATAATTTATTCTCTGCCATGTCTACGATCAGGAACTGAGCCTGTCCTTTGGAGAAATACCTACTTTACAGCATTATTCTCCAGGGATATAGCTTCCAGTACAAGGATTCAGTGCTTGCAGGTTTCAATAGAATAATTTTTGTGAAATTAGTTGTACAGTGAAGCCTAACACATTTTCTCCTGTGTAAGGATTTCTCACACTGCTGGTGCTGTGTGGAGTAAAAGAAAAAATAAACCATCCCTGGCTGAAGGTGCTGATAGTTTTCTAGGGGAAAACTGATCTTGACCTCTCCCGAGTTACTAACAACTTCACCCCTCTGCCCCTGCATCCTCTGCAAAGCTGTAAGACTTGTTTTCTGTGTACATAACTAGTATTCATATAGTCAGTAGCATCCCAACAATAAGAAAAGACACACAACTAGCACTATAGTTTCAGAATTCAGCAGCAGAAGACACCATGTTAATATACCTTTTCTACAGTCAGATTTGGGCTATTTCAGCTATAGAAAGGGATGGCTGGACACGTTTTCTTTACTTCGTGTCTTCCTTTTCATTATGTAGAGGAAGATGAGAGGCTCATCCAAACCACTCTTGTTCTTTTGTAGTAAGAAGCCTTATGCACATACACGAGGGGGCTTCAAAGAGTTCTTGGAAAAATAGAATTAAAAGGTAACAGAATTTTAAAAAAAGATAACAGAAAACAAAACAAAAAGAAAAAAACGGAATTTTCCCACAAATTTTTGAAGCCCCTGTGTGTGTGTGTGTGTGCTTTGTGTGTATAGACATACACACACGTGACCTGAAATATGATTCCCAAGTAGGCTTTGTGCTTATGAAGAGAGAGCTGCGATAGGACAGTAAGAGACAGAGTTAGGTACACAGCAGTGCTCTAGGACGCATTTACTCTTCCTTTGAGCTGCCCTTCTCTCTCAGTCCCCTTACCTCTGTGACAGCCGTGGTGCCCGTATGGCCTCTGTAAACAGGTCTGGGATTCAACCCCACCACCCACTGGCTAGTTCTGTGACCTGACCAAAGTACTAAAATCTCTGAGCCTCAAGTTTCCTTATTTACAAAAGAGATGAATTGGGGAGGTTTCTGGGGTCCGGATAAGCGGAGGCACTCTGCCAGAGTCTCTGGTGGAGGCACCAAAAAACCAGAAAAAAACGCATTTCCAGGACAGTCCCAGAGCTTTAAATTCTCCGCTAGGGGGCGACCGAAACTATTAGCCCTTGCTGTTCATAGCAACCCTGTATAGGGTTTCCGAGCTCTCCAGTCACTCCTTGGAAACCCTATGACATGGTCGCTGTGGGTCCAAACCGACTTGACAGCACTTAACAACAACAAGGAGAAATAGTTTCGGTTGCCCACCAGTGGAGAAATATGACTGGGGCGAGAAGAAATGTGGCAATTTCTGAATCAATCGGGATTCTGCCTTGGGCCCGCAGTCTTAGCAGAGGACAGAGAGCATAGACACAGCCAGCCTGCTACGCACAAAAAAGAGGTGTGGCTTTTTTTTCCCCCTTTTTTTCTTCCTCTCGTATGTTCTCCCGTGTCATACCCTCTCTGCCCAGCTCGGGTGTCTTCACACATGTGGGAAAGCACCCCAAAAAGGGGCCAGTGTTGCACCATAGGGTATGATTTTCCCATGGTGCAAAGAGGAAGGAGCTGAAAGCCCCAGTTGACTCCAGAGGCTAATCCTCTGGCAAGTTTTTATGATGTCTGAATTTGGGATTTAGCCCTGAAATTGGCTCTCTTACTTGGGCAGGAGCCTTTCTTCCTGCCTTATCTAACAAGGAACAGCAGGTCTGGCCATAACAGTCAAGCTGTATTTGCACTCTATAGAATCCCAGTATAAAAGGCAAGAGCCAGCATCAACTACTGTATACAAGGGCACAGTCATTTTGAGAAGTCCGCTGTGCATACGCTCATACCTCACTGATCTTCAGAGAGAAAAGTGTGAACAATCTTTCTTCCATTCATTTCTCATTTCTCTGTCTGCACACCTCCACGTTGGTGACTAGAGGGGGGCCTGAGTGAGTGGACACCCCCACCCACCCTTGGAGGTTTCTACTGTGCATGCACACTGACCTACACAGCAAAGGCTACTGGACAAGTTTGCTATGATTTTGTTTTGTTTGTTTTTTATTTGTTTTTGTTTTTGCTTTTACTTTTGCTCTGTTTTTCGTCTTTAAGTAAGTCCTAATTTTTTTCTGGGGGTGGGGGCTTTCTCTCCCTGCATTATCCAAGGAGAGACAGCAATGGCGATCATATAGTCAAGCTTACAAGCATACCCTATAGTATCCTGTCATCCAGACAGAAGCCAGTACCAGCTGCTACACATTACATGGATAGCTAACACTTGCTAAGATTACTCATAGTTAGTGAAAAGGGAAGCCTATTTCCAGATCACATCCACCAGGAGGCACTGAGTAAGCTTAATAATACAGCAACATACTGCCTGAGAAGGAATTCAGGAGAATGATACTGAGGCCCATCCAAAAGAGATTGTGTTGTTGTTGTTGTTATGTGCCATGGAGTTGGTTCTGAATCATAGCAACCCAGGGTTTCCAAGGATGTGAATCTTTATGAGAGCAGAAAGCCTCATCTTTCTCCCGCGGAACAGCTGATAGTTTCGAACTGCTGACCTTGAGGTTCGCAGCCCAATTCGTAACCACTATGCTAGCAGAGCTCCTTAATTGAACCGAGGTATGTAAAGTGATTGGCAGTCAACAGAGTTTAACAAGTAGTCTCTGTAGTTATGTCTTCATTAGTGAGACCTAGCTCCAGGGTTTTAGTGCTTTCAATCATAATGTTTCCCTCCTCGGTGTCATAACATAATTTTTCATTGTGTTTATTTATAATTTAAGACTGCTTCATTTTGTGATGAATCTGTTCTCTATTGCCAACAAAAGAAGCCTACCATATTCAACTTTCTTAAGGTTTTTTTGTTTTGTTTTTTCTTTAAGGTTTTTAAATTATTCATCTGAAGGCATTATAATTTACAGGTGTTCAAAAAGCATGGTGCCCTAATATAATCTTCTGTAATGTTTTCAGAAGGATTGAAGATTTTTTTTTCTTCCACAATTCTGTTGTTTATTGGAAATACAATTTGTACATGATTGTTGAATTTGTGAAACTCGCAATTATAAAACTTAATCATTCTTGTCTTTAAAAATGAGAGCTACTCATTTTTATTTCAGCTACACGTAGAATACCCTTCCCTAACTGTGTTCCATCTTATGCTCATGTTATGCAAGATGTCAATAAGAGCATTTAGAAAAAAGGGCTTCAGGAGTAGACTCCGCTCCGGTACCATCCTTGGAGAATCACAGAGATGTTAGCCTTTTTAAAATTCTAAATCTTTCTGATTAACAAAATGTTTCCTAAGTTGATTTCACCATGGACCCATTTTGCACAGAATACATTTAAGTATCTCCCAAAGCTATAGTGTTCCTTTAGGACAGTTTTCAAGAAGATGCAGTATTTTTTAGAGAAATGGGGATTGTCCAAAATTAGCCAAGAAATGGAGAGTGGCCTGAAGCTGAAGAGGGTGGTTCACTCTCTACTGAAGCTAACAAGGAAGACAGTGAAGATTTGAGAGATGCCATGCTCAGATTTGCTGGGCGTTTCTACACAGGACCAGGTTTATAAAAATTGTTCCATAAATAATTGTTAAGATGATTTGGCTTAACAGATGATCTGAAATTGTGATGGAGCTGTCTTTTGGAAAAAAATAGATAATAGCCATGCATTAAGGAAGAAACCAGAAGACATTTGCCAAAGGTTCCACCTACTACACTTAACACTCCTGCTTTCCAAGGGGAATCCCTCAGAACAGCAAGTGGACCTCTCTGTACCTGAGTGTCTGTCTCTAAAATAGGAATCACCATGATACTTTGCTGACAGAAAATTCAACAGGCTAAACATAGACGTATGCCTGACACAAGGCAGAACTCAGTGTTAGTTTCCTTTTTCTTTCTGTAGAAGAGAGAACACAGCTTCTAAGCTGCGACGAGTTGTGGCTGTGTTGTCTAGACGCTGAGGACTGTTCGATGCAGTCCTGCACATCACATCCCAATGAGTACTCGAGTAGTTTGTAGGCCCAGTGCACGCACTTGTTAGCCATAGGCGTTTGAGCAAATCACTTAATCTCCTTGCCTCTGTTTTGTCCTCTGTAAAATGGGGTTCAGAGTGAAATAATGTAAGAATGTTTTCTCTATCTAACTATGTGATAATAGATTCTTCATTCATAAGACAGCACCTCATATTAAGTTCCACTGAGTTCCTTAGTGGGAGAAAAAGGGTGACCTTGATGTTCTTTCTGCCTAGGAAATGCTGGCACTAGATGCCCCAAGGAGACATAAGGTGTCTGTCCATGTTCTTGCCAGGGAAATGGATTCTTGTAAGTATTGGATATTGACTTGTTTAAATGTATTTTTAATCATGTGTTGGGCCCTAGGATGGCTGTCCCTTGCCATTGCCACATGCCCATAGGGTACAAGAAAGTGAAGGGGTGGAATAGGGGTGTGTTCCATCAAAGCTAAAGAAAGGGGACTGGAGCCATTAGGGAGTGAAGGAGAGAGCCAGCAGCAGCTGATGCAATCCAGGCTGGCCACTGCTTCACACCAAAACCGAGTGCTGCTGAGACTGCAAGGAACCACTGCATGTGGAAAGGAGGAGCAAGCAGTAGCTCACCTTTTTTTCCTATCTCTTACCTGTTACTGGCCAAAATTTGCCCGATGTCAATACCTGCCAGTGGCCAGAGCCTTAGGATCCAGTCAGTTTAGACCTGGACACTGAAGCTCCTACAGCCAAGACTTCATAACCACAGGGACACTGTGATGGAGTCAGGAAGCGGTCGTGTACTTTGGGGCTTGCAGCATGTAGGAACTGTCTTTAAATGAAGTAGGACTGGTTTGTGTATTGTTGAAAATCATGCTGATATGCTAGTATCCCCAAGGGCAAAACACTAAACCTCTCATGTTCTTACAGGTCCTGTTGTTGGAGAGTTCCCATGTCAAAATGATGTAAATTTGGCACAAGCCCCAGCCTTGCCACAAGTAAGAAATGTCAATGTTAGATTGCAGAGTTAGAGGACTTCCTACTTAGAAGGAGGCTGTTCTTCAAGACACATTGTTGTTGTTGTTATGTGCCGTGGAGTCGGTTCCGACTCATAGCAATCCTGTACAGGGTTTCTGAGGCTGTAAATCTTTATGGGAGCAGAAAGCCTTTTCTTTCTCCTGTGGAACAGCTGCTAGTTTTGAACTGCTGACCTAGCAGTTCGCAGCCCGATCCGTAACCACTACGCTACCAGAGCTCCTTCAAGATACATAGGACATAGAAATTTCAGGCCACTAGGTGTTCAAACTTCTACTTTGGGCCTCCCTTGAAGGCCCAGTCGACAAGTGTGTGTTCGTTTTGACAGTTCCCGGTGGCTTGTGCTTTTCCCTTATCGGCTTCAGAGAGACTTGTCCTCATGTGCCTTGGCTTCTTGGTTAAACAACTGAGTTACAATGCAGTGAGTTGTCTGCAACCATATTGGTCCCAGCCTTGAGTATTACAGTGAGCCTTCTCAGCCCCTTCCAAAGGGCCAGAGTATTGTAATCATCAAGAAAGGTTGTCACTGAGCTAGAGGAGGAGCAATCTATCAGGATAACCGGCCCTTGCTGGATAGGGTCATCCACTTCTGCCCAGAGTAACACCAAAAGTCCTTCTGGCCTGGTGTCCCATTGTGGACACACATAGGTTTACCTAGACCTGTCCTCGAGCCCTACTGGTCTACAAAGAAAGGACAGCAAATGAGAATCTAGGAGGTACAAGCTAGTGTATATGCAGACAGAAAAAAAATGTTCTGCCTGCTTTTTAAATTAAATATACTAAGAGGCAACTTTTTTCTTTGCAGCCTGAAGTGATTCAAAACATGACTGAGTTCAAGCGTGGCTTACCACTATTTCCCCTTGTGAAACCACATATCAACTTCATGACTGCAAAACTCTGAAGATTCCCCATGGGTGACAATGCAAATGGATGCATTCCTGAGTCTTCCAGGGCCTAGGAAACCAATCTTGGCCACTTTAGTCGTTTCTTGAGCGACAAACAGAAAAAAAAAAGTCATTATGTAGAAATATTAAAAATCCAAAATAACTATATTACAGAATCTTGTAGATGTAGAATATTTTTTAAATACATGCCTCTTATTTAATTTTTTTTCTTTTCATTACTAAAAGAAATTGCCCTTACATAACCATGCTTAAGATGATGATGATGTGCCTGTAGACTCTTTTTATTCCCTATTCTGTAAAATAGTCACTTGTGAGAAAAAAAGTTAGGTTTTGTTTTTTGAGTTTTTTAAAAGCCTTTTAGGTTGACTGAGAAGGCTTGAAAACATTAGAAAGGTAATAATACCTTTTTAAAATTTGATTCTCATATTTGCTTTCTGTTTGATGAGTTCATGTACATCAGTGGAGAACATTGCATTTGGCAGATAATGAACAAAGCAACATAATCTTTTATTAGTGAAATTGCTGATTATATAGAAGGCCTGGTTTTAATCTTTTGTAAAATTTGAACATGTTTTATATATAAACTAGTAAAATGCTGGAAACCCCTAGAACATACTACATATTTAAAGTGCTAGACATACTTAACCTTATAGCAATTTTGCCCCAAATTGAGTTTCTCAGGATTGCCGTGGCTTGTTTGTTTCTGATTGGCACTCTTGTATTCATACTTGGTTTGTAGTGTTCCATCAGGTCCACACTTGCTCATTGACCTGTGCTGTATTTCTTTAACAAACAGGCTCACCCTTCAGGCCCTGCTGAGTGTGTGGCATGCTTCTCCAGCATCTTTCACAGCCACAAAATTGCAGTCAGTATGTCAACCAAAATATTTTGCCCCCTTAAGAATTAAAAAGGCACCAAGTACAAAGCCACCATGCTGGAGATATACAAAAATAAAATCTAAGATTCTTAAATATCGTGATTTCCAAAAGCACTCTGAAATCCCTTGTTGCTACCAGTCTGATCTTGCCTTAAGTGTTTGTTTGTTTTTAATATATAAATATAAACATACTGAGACCCATGATGACTACAGTGTACTTTAAAAAAAAAACTTTTTTCATGAGATTCTATTTTAGGTGAAACTGTTACTATATATAGATTTAGCAACTACTCTAAAATATTTACTATTAAAACTTGTTTCAAGAGAAATTGTGAATGTGAGAGCATTCAAACGTTCGTGGAAAAAATGTCATGATTTGTTTAGTTCCATTGTTCCACAAACTTGCTGGAGCCCCATCGCATGTGTCCACATGGAGGCGCTGTTGTCCACTAACTCAGGCAGAGGAGCGAATGGAACCCTCCAGTGACATTTACCTCCATCTGAATTGATGGGCCTGAGCTTCCTTCTGTAGAGTCGTATTTTTCTACATCTTAAGTTTTTACATCATTTTTCAAATATTCTAAATTTGGGGCAAGAATGAGAAGTCACAACTGCGGAGTCCGCTCTTGAAGGCACGGCTCCCTGTCTGCTGTCAGGTTACTGGTGCTGGAACCATCGTTTCACCCCTGCCCTCGGAGCCTCCGCGGAAGGAGCTTATCTGCAGCCCTCACCTCATCAGGCTGTATGCACTTACAGACTAAACTGCAAATCTACACGCCAGAAGTCTCAAGTTAGTCCTGACTATTGGAATCTCCCACTGTAAGAATAAGTAAAAAACTCACCTACCTTCTCTGTGGAAAAATTATGTGCTATTGAGAAATACAAGTTTTTGGGTTTTTTTAAATGGGTGAAATTTAATGGGGTCATTTTTATGCGAAAAGTACATGAGATCTGAAAGGCATCTTCCAGGAGCCTGTGATTAGGGTTGTGTGTGTTCCAGCATTTTCCCACCTCCAAATTAGATCTAGAGCTCCATTTGGATCACTCAGGCATACTAATGGATTCATTTACAAAGGGTCCAAGCTGCAGTCCAAGAGCAATAACAGACTACCCCAGGAACTGCTTTCAGTCAGTGCTCAGTAACTGAGATTGCTGAACTCACTTACTGTTACCTGTGACTTTGTTTTTCAAGTTTTCATTCTGATTGGTTGATGTGGAAAGAGAACATGTGACACAAGCAGTGTGGTGGAGTGCTTGGGTTATCCTGTTTACAATAAATCACCTGAACGTAACCTCTGGAGTTTCATTTGTATGATTTTTCCGTTTTACGTGAAGTAGTGCACTGACCAATCCTCAGGTCTCTCTAGTCGTCCCTCTTTGACCATGTTTCCTGTTTTCACTGCTTTAATGCAGGAAGTAGGTGTGGTGCTGTGGGCTAATGCACTGGACTGCAATGTCGTTTGAATCACAAGGTCGGTGGTTCAAGCTCATCAGCCGCTCCATGGAAACCCTCTACAGGGTCGCTATGAGTCAGAAGCAACTCAACAGCACTTAAAAACAACAGTGCAGAAAGTAGTGAATCCTGATCCTATTTTTTCCCTCGCAAGTATATTTGACTAACAGTGAGCTGGTCCAATTGGTGGCTCATTTTACACCGGATACACTGGATTTCCTGTAAACTAGAGGCTGAACTCCTGACTGTATGCATTTCAAAGATCCAGGACCTATCCGAATCCCAGCCGGCTCTGTTGCCAAATTTACATGTACATACAAAGGCTCTTGCATTGCTAAATAATTCTGAACAAGAAGAATAAAATGATCTTTCCTGTCTGCAAGGTTTATATAAAACTAGTAATCGAGACATTGTGATACTGCCCTAATGATAGACACATAGGGATCTGTGGAAGAGAATATTAAGTTCAGAACTAAAGCCACACACTGCACTGATTTCAGTTCATTTCTGACAGTGGACGAAAGGACAGCAAATGGGTCAAGAACAACTAAATATCCTTGTGGAGAAAAATCGAACCTTGACCCTTACCTAACATTACATGCAAAGTTAATAAACTATAATATAAAAGTTCAAGCTATACAATTTTTATAAGGAAGCATAAAATCCTTCCTAAGTTTGGTTGTTAACAAATTTCTTAGGATCCAAAAGAAATTAATCATCAAAATGGGTAAATTAAAATTTTTCCATTTTAAAATGTCTTCTTTTTAAAAGACATCGTTAAGGAAATAAAAAGGCAAGCCACTGTCTGGCAGGAAATATTTACATCAAACAGGATTAATATAGAAAAGTGTATATTAAAAACTCCTAACACTCTAATAAGAAAACAGCACAGTAAAAATCTGGTAAAAGAGTTGAATAGATGCTTCCCTAAAGAAGATACAAGCAATGGTCAATATGCATGTGAAAATACTTGAAGGTCTTTTCTTTATCATCAGGAAAATACAAATGAAAGCCTGGACAAAGCTAATGAAGAAGAAAAATCAGTGGCGGTTGCATGTCCACGGTAGTAGCAGCTGTTGTATCAGTCCTTCCTTGCCCTCACTAGCCCTCTGTTTCAAACATGATGTCTGTCTGCAGCAGTTGTTCCCTCTAGGATCCCTGGTGGGTGCTGTAGCATTAGCACTGGACTGTTAACTACAAGGTTAGCAGTTCAAAACCAATAGCTGCTCTGGGCAAGAAATGTGAAGTGGTGTGCTCCCATGAAGATTCACAGCACTTGGTTTTAACAGAGTGGCACTTTGGCGACAAGATAGATACTGTTCTTTGGCTGAAGATGAGAAACTAAGGCTTGCAACCTCCTTTTGAACTATAGTCATGCCCACTCACATATGTACTGTTTTCTTCCTCCAATCCTGATGGATACCATTTTTTTCTTTTTAAACTTTATTGTGAATTGAGTAAAGGTTTACAGAACAGACTTATCAGTCCCACATTCAACAAAACCATACACTTTGTGGCATTACATGCTTGCAGTCCCTTCAGTGTACTATCAGCTAACAGTGTATCCGTCTCTTCTCTTGAAATCTTGCACTCCTCCCTGTCTTCCACTCCTTTCATCTTTTCCCATGTCATCCTCCCTTTTGTATATTGCCTTCCCCATCGCCCAAGTTAACATGTGTCTATCTTACACCAGATAGAAGTGAACAATTTTCCCTTCCCTCCCACCCCTGGTAACCATCATAGAATGTTTCTTTTAGCAAGAAAACCTTTTCTTAACTTACAACAGTGCTATACCGTATTTGTCCTTGTGTGATTAATTTCACTCAGCATAGTGACTCCCAGGTTCATCTGTTACTGCAAATTCATCATTGTTCAATGTTTCATAGGATTCCATTGCATGTATGTACCACAGTTTGTTTAACCATTCTTATGTTAATGGGCATTTAGGATACCATTGATTTTTGTGGACTATAGTTTTAAGAAATGCTGCTCTTGGTCCAGGCTACCCAAAACTTGGTCAGTGGGTCAGCAGCATGGGCATCACCTTGAAACTGGCTAGAATGCAGACCCTTGAGCTCCCACCCAGGCTACTAGGTGAAGTTTGCCTTTTAACAAGATCTCCAGCTGATATCTATGTACACTCAAATATGAGGAGCACTGCCTGTTACATGTCGTTGATTACAACTCCCACTTCAAATGAAGAAAAACACAAGACCTGATTCTTGCAAAATTAAAAAAAAAAAAAAAAAAAATTTTTTTTTTTAATGAAGTGCATAGAAAAGTAACCAGCTGAGATTTCTGGCAAGATGGTAGATTAGGCAGACGCAAAACACAGACACCCTATACAACAAAGATACAAGAGACAAAATAAAAGACACAAATGAAAATTCTGTTACCCTTAACTTCAGAAGAAATGTTAGAGAAGTGGATGGAGTGTTTGCTGGGAAGAGAGACCAAGCAGGGACAACAGGAAAGGGAGGCTGACTGGTGAAGGGCTGGCCAGACGAAGCTAGACTACCTCGTGAGCAGCTTTGGCAGCGGGAGAGAGTCCTGGCAGAGCAGGTCTGCATGGGTGACAGAAAAGGTGCAGTTTTTTTTCTTTTTCCCCACATGTGTGGCCACTTCCCACCCTCATCCACCCCCAGCCCAGACCTTTCAGATCCGTGTGGTTGAGAGCCAAGCCACCATGAGGTAAGCTGCTTTGGTGTCTGGATTCAAATGGGCTCAGAGCCACCAAACCAGCATCTAACCAATAACCCTACTCCCAGTCCTTGTGGGCCTAACAGACACTGAAACCAGCTCTATCAAGAGCCCCCACAGACTACTTCCAGATTGATTGCCCTGAACTCCATCTAGGGCCCGGGACTCTGCGGTCACATGCTTTTCACAACCACCTCGTGAGCTCCTTGAATTGCAGGAGCCCCCAGAGATTTCTCCTCTCCAGGTCCAACAACTGCACTGGTTGTTTTTATAAATACAACAACCTCACAATGCCCC